TGTGTGTGTGTGTGTGTGTGTGTGTGTGTGTGTGTGTGTGTGTGTTTTTGAGACAGGGTCTCGCTCTGTAGCCCAGGCTGGCCTAGAACTGAAAGCGATCCTCCTGCCTCAGCCTCTGAAATGCTGGGATCACCGGTGTGTGCCACCACACCCAGCTTCCAAACATTGTTGTGGTGGGACAGGAAATAGATATAAGAAGTGGAATTTAGAGCTTAAATTTGCAATTGTGTTGATTCACAGATGACAAAGAAAATTAAAAAGCTGGAAAAAGAAACAATAATATGGCGCACCAAGTGGGAAAACAATAACAAAGCACTTCTGCAAATGGCTGAAGAGGTGAGAGTGTTTCCTAGTCCTGGGCACTCATTAAATTCAGGTATCTGTGAGGACAGGGCCATGTGTCAGGACGTCACAGGATGTTGCAGTCCTCCGTGGCAGTGAGGTGTGAGCGGACGGCCCCAAGACTGTCCGAGTGCCTCCATCTCCCCCTCCACCAGATGTCTGGGCCCCAGCAGCGGTGCCCACCCGGGCTCGGGCTCCCACCTTGGGCGGTGCCTTTGTGTTGTGATGTAGTCTCCCAGAAAAGCACCCTGAGACTTGTTCTGGTTTTGTAAAGCTACATGTATAACTTGCAGCCTCAGAATTTCATGTCTTAAGAAATAGTTGTTTTTCTATCTGCTAGTCCTAGTAAGTTTGAACTCCCAGAACGTTTTAGAAAGTGGCTTTTGCCAGGCTCCTGGGTGACTTGAGTGAGTTAACCTTGCCCCAGGGGCGGCACCAAGCTCATCCCTGTGTGTACTGTGTACAGGGTGCTGGGCCCCACACCTGCACAGGTTCACTAGGTGCTGAGACAGGCTTCCCAGGTGGTGCACTCATTTTCTTGTGTGCAGAGGTTGCTGACTGTTTTTTCTCTTTTAGAAAACTGTCCGTGATAAAGAGTACAAGGCCTTTCAGATAAAGCTGGAGCGGCTAGAGAAGTTGTGCAGGGCTCTTCAGACAGAGAGAAATGAGCTCAATGAGAAGGTGGAAGTCCTCAAAGAGCAGGTCTCTGTCAAAGTGGCAGATGGGGACTTGGTGGCACCCGCGCCGCAGCCTGGCGCTGCCCTGGATGCTCACAAGGAGCTGAACACTTCCTCCCGAGGAGGAGCCCCAGGCCCGCAGCTGGAGCCCCAGGCCGCAGATGGGGGTGCTGATGGAGGCGAGGGCGGCACAGCCCCACAGAAGCCCCGGGGTCTGGACCCTGCTCCAGGCATCGGAGCCCCCTGTGTCGAGTCTATTGACTAGGGTGAAGCGTGCTCCCCGCTATGTTGAGAGATCTATTTTATGTATAACTTTCTCTGTTAGTAGTAACTATTGGTTTTGTGGTGAAAATTTTCTTACTTTTTCTACCATATCTGTATTTTCTTAGAACTACTGGATTTATGTGGTACAGGAAGCTGCTTAGCAGTTTTGAATAGTTTTATTCTATAAATTCCTGTCAGCTATGGTGCACATCTGCCTCAGTTTCCCCATCATTGGAATGCATGTATTCACTACTTTGTCTTTTCTCCTTTCTGCTCCTTGCATATAAGTTTCCTAAGTAATTGCACTCAAGACAGGGATGACCATTGAGGGAACCCTGTTGTGAAAATAGAATTAAAACAGTTCGGCCCCCCATTAATATTACTTAAAAAAATACCAAGACGATTAGTTTTGGTCTAATGCCATGTGAAAAATAAAACTAGTGTTGGGTCAGAAACTAGCATAGCATATTTGATTCAAACTAGTTTTCTGGTATTTGTCTCACTTGACTAAGCGAGACAGCCATGAGCCTTGACCTCCAGGTTTTGGCAGAACTTGTACATGGGGGCATTTGCAAACAAAGCAGTATGTGAGGTGCAGCGTCGGACACAACGCTGGGCTCGGTGCTTTGGTTCCAAGTTATTGCCCAGCGTGGTAACAGGGCCCACCTGAGAGGTGGCCGCGCTCAGCTCCATTGGCACTCAGGTTTGCAGCTCTCCACTTGCACAGCAAGCCATTAAAACAGCAGGGGCAAACCTTTGTGTGGCTTTTGCTAGGCAGAAGTTCCTCCGCCACCTTCTGGCTATTTTGAATGTTGTTCAGTTTCATAAGAGTCCAACCAGGAAAGTAATCAAGGGTTTTGTTTTCCTTCCTTAAAAAGGGAATTTAAATTATGGATCAGCACTTAAAAGTGTGAAAGTGATTTCACTTCCAGAAGAGAAACACTGGAACCAGCATTTTTACCTTGGGAAAACTTGGCAGAGTGTCTCCATAGTCAGGACCTGTAACTTGGCTTTCAAGTCTGTTTCTCCTTCCTTTATTACTGTCTTGTTTTCAAAGAGAAAAAAAACAACCCAGTATTATCAAGGTCTCTATGCTTGGAAAGGGGGAAATTTTAGAATTAAGCACATAGCTCTTGAATTGGTTCTTGAACTTCCCTTTGTTTTCTTCAGTGTTGACTGTGACTCGGTTATGCAAATAAGTACGATCAGGCTGCCCCAGGAAGCCTGGTGTAACTGCAATAGAGTACTTCACAAAATAAATAAAAGGTTCTGGTAGAGCTGATGTGAGCATATTCCACTGAGAATATCAAACTGACATCTGTTAAACTGCTTACTGGACTGAATAAACTCCATTTGGTCCAGTTAAAATGGTTTTCTCTTTGTTAAAAGTTTTATTTGTAAAGTCCTGTCACATTCCCGGTCTAAACTGGGTTGAAAAACTTGAAAATTGTCCAACAGCTGGGAAATAGTGCCTGGAGTAAAGGATTATGTATCTGAGCTTCCACCATCAGTCTTTGTTAATCAAGGGGCCAGACAGTGGAGAAGAAATTTGTGGAGTACAGTACGTTATCTGACTACCTTGTCACAATGAGCTGGAAGCCAAAACAACCTGTGCTCCCCAAAAGCCTGTTATACATACCCTCCCCCCTTCAGCTATTAGCTGGAACCCTGGACTGCTTCGGGGGAAATGAAGGTATCTATTCAAAACATAATCTACCTTAAAATCAGTACTCATGATCACATTTCACACAACTCTGCTGGATGTACCCCTCTTAACTTTGTAGCAAGCCATGTATGTAGCTCACCATGCTCTTTTGTGGTGCCTGTCCTGTGTGGAAGACTGTAAATCTTGGACCTGTTGCATATTTTCAAGGGCTTTATAAAGCAATGTGATTTAACAGTACTTGGCCTGCTGCTTTTGGGTTCCATGTATTTTTAGCTAGATGCTACCATGGTGTTTAAAGGATATGGATCCTGTCTGGGAATGCACTCAGAATCTTTCCTCCCATCACCCTGTGAATAAACACAAATGGGACCCCTGAAGTGATCGCCCCAGCAGCCTAGTGTTGTGGCTTCGTAGCAAGCCCTGTGTGTCCCGTGTTCTAGAACACTGTAACACTGCTAGGCTGTCCCAGAAGGTTGATGCAATGCTCGAAATCATGCCAACTGCCTTTGGTGCACCATGTTTGTATGTGTTATTTATAGTGGCAGCAGACCCCACAGTGTAGGAGAATGGGTCTTGGGTAACAGACCGTTTCACCCTGACTTGTAGAGTGCGTTTCTTGGTCTCAAGATCAGTATGTTTTAGTTATGTATGCAACTGCCTTTATCACACCTGGTTATCACAATTCAATTCTCAGGTGTTGCAGAAAAATCTACCTCTTTCAGACTGTAGATGGAAATAACTGTGAAAAAATGATGCAGATTATCTCTAGTTTGTGCTAAACACACTGCTTTATTTTTACAGCCCACGTCTTTCATGAGGATACGAATTGTTAAGAGGCAGTCTTGTGTTGCTTTTCAAAGACATTTTGTAGATTTTTCACTAATGTGAATTGATTTTATCTACTCGATTCTGTATAGATTAAGTAAATATGTATGATAAATTTAACAGCTTCTGTGTATTCTTTTGTTACTCATGTGGCCTGAATCGCACAAGTCCAAAGGTACAACTTTACCCATTTCCCTTCAAGGAAAGGGAGAGCTACGTGTACACACAGCCATCACCCCAGCTTCCAAAATAAGAAAAAAACATGTTATTTTAAAATTTTTATTTCTGCAAAGCCAATCAAGAAGTGTTGGAAGGAAAAAGTGTAAAAGTTACCTTGCATATTTGGGAACAGCAAGCACTTAAGTTTGAGAAAATGAGGACTTAAAACAGCTGAATCAAAGGCAGTACCCTGCTACTTATATTTTAAAACAATGTGATGTTCTTTCTGAAACAACATTCCTTTCTTCCCTAATAACTACAATATGATACAATACGCAACAGCTCACTTGAAAGTGCTAGATCATAGGGTAAAGAATGCCATAAGCCATCCCGCTTAACATGTCCCACTATACAATGCCGTTTTGGCGCTTGAGAAACCAAGCATTTGTGTAGCATTACATTCAACAGAAACAACTCATACTCTGGGTTTAAGATCCTTGTCCCTCCAGTTCCGATGTTGTGACATCTGACTCTTCATCATTGTAAATATTTTCAGCCTAGAGACAACCAAATAAATTTACAAGTAAAATTCCCTGAGGTTTTCATATAATCATGTAAAAATGAATTTAATCTGCCAATCCCACTGTCTTATGACATTTTCACAAGAACTGACCAGTGCTATTTTTGCACTTTCCATCAAGAAAAAGGCAGGCTAGTATTCTTAAATTATTTGCCACTGTGATTCCACATATACACTTAGTCAGTGTGTACACAAGGTGTTTTCTTTTTTTTGGTACCAGGGATCGAACTTGGGACCTTGCGCTTGCAAAGCAGGCGGTGGAACCACTGAGCTAAATCCCCAGCTCCTTGGCAAGGTGTTTTCTGAATGCATCTCAAACATCACTTGGTGTTGACAGCCTTGCTGCTTATGCGAGGTGTGGATGACTTGTCAGTACCTTAGGGTACCAGTCACCACTGCGCACCCTCAGTCCCCTCCTGGGCCTGTACTTGCCACACACAAGGCCCCAGGAGCCAGAGTGCCACACCAGCCAACACCGGAGCAGATGCTGTCCGCGTCTGCATCCGTTCACACATGTGCCCAGTCAAACCCAGCAGGTGCCACAGCCGGTGGACCAAGCGCCAATACTGAATTCAAGACTTGCCAAGTGGGAATTTTCCTTTACACTGCAAGTATTTAGTACAACAGGAACCTAAATATTTCTATTATATCACTAGTAAATCTATGCTTTACAACATAGCCATTTGGGAAAAATAAATCTCAGCTCACCATTTGCCATATCTGCATGATGTTGTCCTCAGACACTGAGCAGATAACCCAAGGCTCATTGGGGTTCCAGCTAAAGTCTGAAATCTTGGCAGTGTGTCCTCCGTGAATAAACTGTAAAGAAAAGTCTTGGTAAGCACAAGTCGCTGTCCACGTGTGCTATACACTGGGCGTCAGCTGCAGATATGACACTTAGCCCAATTCTCGGCCAGTGTCCCCAAAGACATGTGGTTCTCCACAACTAGGTGCTAATGTGTAAGGCGGGCTCTCACTTTCCCACACCGGCTGGGGCCCCTGCACTGCAGGACATAGCCCTCACCCTCAGCCTCACCCCAGGGCACCACAGCTCCAAAGTCCCCAGGAGGCTGGAGCAGAGACAGCTGACAGCAGAGACTGAAGGGGCCACCGACTTCCTATGGGAGGCAGCCTCAAGGGAAAGCACTGTGCCTTCTACATCTCTGAATTAGAATTCAGAGTAACCTCTTCTTTGAAAGGACACAAATATTAGCATACTGTGTAGAATTAGAAGTCATACTTTCTGTTGAAGTCTGACTTGGCTCTTTACTTTGACAAAGGTCTGTCTGCTGAGTAGGTCATATGTAATGTGTCTTTGACCAAATGGTTGTATTAGTTTTAAAATGTGAGATGGGGCTGGTTGTAGTGCCACACACCTGTGATCCAAGCACTCTGGGAGGCCGAGGCAGGAGGGTCACAAGTTTCAGGCCAACCTGGGCAACGCAGACACCATCTCAAGAATAAAATTTTAAAAGGATGGGATGTGATGTGTGTGGCAGTGTGCTCCTGTACTGGAAACTGAGTTGCGGGGACAGCTTTTCAAAATCCTCCCAAGGGGTATGTAAGTATTTCCAGACCACTGCCTTGGAATGTGCCCATAGAAAGAAACACATCAGGGGCTGCCAGGGGCTGGGGGAGGAGAGGGTTGGGAGGTGACAGCCAGGGATTTCTGCAGAAAAAAAATGTCCTAGAATTGGTTGGTGGAGATGGTCACACAACTCTCCATATACTGAAAACCACTGAATTGTAAACTCTGTGAACTGTACCGTATGTGAATGCTATCACGATAAAGCTGTTACCAAAATAACTGAAAATAGCTGCACAAAAATAGCTGGGAGCAATGTGTGTTCTAGAAAATACTATAAAACTGCTTCACAAGCAGACTGCTCAGAGTCAGTCATTCACTGTGAAATAAAAGCACATAGAGGGCTGGGAATGTAGTTCAGCAGCACAGTGCCTGCCTGGAAAGAGGCCCCAAGTTAGATTCCCAGTACAAAAAAAAAAAAAGAAATGCAAGCACGTAGGTCCTGCCCTCTGCTGAGGCCTACGGTTACTGAGAAACCCTCCTGCCTCAGCAGCAGTGGTGTGCACTGTGGCCGAGGCCCATTCTACCTCTGCCAATTGCTGCACGGAAGCAGCTGGTTAAGGAGTGCAAGGGACTGGCTAGGGCAGTGGTGGTGAACCTCTGGCACATGTGCTGCAGTGGGGCTGTTTGTCTCACTGAAAGCTCTTAAGAGGTTCGCCATCACTGGGCTAGGGGATCACACCAGTGGGACCCAGCATGTGCTGTGTTGGCTTAGCCAGAAAGGCCCCTGCTTTATGACTTGTGAGCAAAGCATGAGTGTACCAAAAATTAGCAGTGTCATAAGCGCTAAAGAAAACCTATGCTCCAGAGTGATGAGTGACCACCTGTCTGTGACCAGGAAACAAATGTTAAATTCAGAGCAAGGACAAAGAACCTCTGCAAACTTTGGCAATGCTTCATTGAAAAGCGACTTGAACTGAAATAGTAGGTCATTAACAATTGTCCACCGTTAGGTGGTGTGAAATTGCTCAGTGAGCGGCAAGAGAACTCTCTACCCCAAATCAAACACTCAGAACATAGCACGGCTGAAACCCGTGAGGAATCACTATTCAGTACTTTCCAGGAGCCCAAATGACTTTCACTGGAACATCTGTAAAAACCTACTGGGTCCCATGTACTGGTTGTGATAAATTTCACAGCCCAGTCACTACAGCCTCCAGACTTCCATTCTGAAGTCATCTGTGAGCGCTGGAATAGGAGGATCGGACTCCTCCGTGTGCTAAGTGGGTGGATGGGAGAACCCAATCTGCATGCGCCACTTCCTCTCGAAGAGTGCATACCAGAAGTTCTGGAGGCCCATCTTCTGCATCCTCAGCTGATTGTTCTTCTCCAATTTTACTAATAACAAAAAATAATGCCTTCATTATTGAAAATTCTCGTAGCAAGAGTGTACACTAAACCACTATTCCCCTGAAAGTTCACCCTAAACACAAGCACACACCCTAAGAGTAACTTCTTGTTAGGATGTTTGCTTCCTGGAAACAGGTTAGCACTATATATAATTGTAATTGCAGAATGAGGAACTGTTCACAATAAACTGAAAATTTCTCCAACATTCTAAGTTAGGCGTGGTGGCACACCCCTTTAATCCTAGCACTCAGGAGGCTGAGGCAGGAGGCACACCATGAGTTCGAGGCCAGCCTGGACCACAGAGCAAGAACCTTTCTCAAAAAATAAAAATTCTTTCTACATTTTTACTGCATTAGAATTCAAAGGTGAAAGGTGTATTTTTAAAAAATCTACATGTGATAGGGCCGGGTTTGGTGGCACAAGCCAGTAACCCCAGCACTCAGGAGATTGAGGCAGGACAATCACTGTGAGTTCAAGGCCAGCCTGGACTACACCGAGAAACCCTGTTTCAATCCCATTTATATGCAAACGAACATGTAGCCTCTACATTCTTAAAGCCTTGTGTGTTCCAGAAGTAAAGTATGACTACACACCATCTGTCTATAAAGGTAAAGCAACAAAACAACATTAATTGTGGACTGTATAAGCCAAAACAAGATTTTATTTTTTTTTGGTGTTCAGGACTGAACCCAGGGCCTCATGCATGCCAGGCAAATGCTACATACACCTCTAGTCCAAAATGGAAGGTTAAGGTGTTTTTCTTCTAAAATTTCAGTTTGTAAGCCAAAATATAGAACCACTTGACGTTTTCCCCCCTTCCCATAAAACTAAATTTAGTCCACATCAAGGCAATACAAACTAGGCAACTTTATCAATGGCTCTAAAGGTTCAAAGGGGACTGAAATTCTTAGAATAGTAGCTCTATTCTTCATTTTGTTTTCAGGCTGGCTTAGAATTTGAGGTGATCCTCCTGCCTTAGCCTCTTGAGTGCTGGGATTAAGTGTGCACCACCACTCCTAGCTTTTGGGGGGGGCACTGGGGATTGAATCCAGGGTTGTTACACGGAGCTGCATCCCTCATTCCTTTTTTTCTTTTTCCCTCCCTCCCTCCAATTTATTTTTGGTACCAGGAATCAAACTCAGGACTTACACTTGCCAGGCAGGCGAGGTGCCTCTGAGCTAAATCCCTGGCCCTCCTTTTAATTGAATTTTATTTTTTGGTACTGGGGATCGAACTTGGGTCCTTGCGCTTGTGAGGCAGGCGGCGGAACCACTGAGCTAAATGCACGGCCCATCCTCCTTTTGATTTTTTAATGCAGGGTCTTGCTAAGTCGCTGAGTTGCTCAGGATGGGCTTGAACTTGCAATCCTCCTGCCTCAGACTCCCAGACGGCTGGAATTACAGGCACATGTGCCATGCCTGGCTCTCCTTCTAAGAGTTGAGAGAG